CAGCCTTACATCATCCAGCATGAGGGAAAAGCCTTACAATCCAGCCTTACATCATCCAGCATGAGGGAAAAGCCTTACAATCCAGCCTTACATAATCCAGCATGAGGGAAAAGCCTTACAATCCAGGACGGTTTAATACTGAAACTTGAAAACACAGTGAAAACACAGATTGACTGGCCCTGAATCCTCACTACTGCAACTTTAAGTACAGTAATAAACAAAAACAAAAGATATAATAATGAGAAATTATACACCTATTAAAATACATACAACCACTGTCAAGTGTCTATCCAGAAAGTTCTCTGTGACATGAGTAACTGCTGGGGATTTGCCTTCACTGGATGTCTATTAGCAAAGACCTAAATTCTTACCTGACAAGAGACACCCAATTCTCCGATGGGACATGAGGCGTTTCCGCACTGCGTTCTCAAAGAGGATCCTGATGTTTCCTTTCACTGTCTCAAGGTCGTAACCTGGGAGGGATATCAGTTTTCCTTCAGCTTGTGTCATTAAACCTCACCTGACAGATAACTTTAAAATTCAGATTCAAAACACTAAAAGTTTCTAACTGCTTCTACCAGATGAACTGATTTTGTGAGTGTTCGTTGATCAGGTGCTGTACGAAAGGCCATGAGTAGTTGTTCCTGGCTGCTGTTACAGACACCAGAACAAAACCCGTCACCTGAAGCCAGCGTCCCCACGGTGTCAAAGACGATGTGTTTGGGCTCGCTGGTGCAGCTATGGAAGCGGTCCAGTTGAATGGACTCCACCTTCCCGTTCATCTTCAAGTTGAACACCTCAAAGTGTCCCGGTGGGAAGGGCGTGATCGGAGGGTCCGTCTCCATGGTGTGGTTGAGTGTGGTCAGACCTGGGTACAAAATGAAGGCAATGCCAACCGTGACAGTAGGAATATTGGGGGGGGGGGTGAATAAGAAGAATCAGGTTCTGGATTTTTTTAATCACCAGAAGGAAACTGAAGAATGCAGTTAGATAAACTAAATGTCATGTCACATAAATACATTTAAAAATAAAATACTGAACTGTTCTCTATAACCAAAATGTTCCCACATGAATGACTTGAATGTGCCACTGGGGTCTGCAATCTCAGGGTTATTGTCCATCTTGTTGAGCTAATTAAACCACAGGTGCGATCACTCCATCATGATTGGACCACAACAGTCACATGACATATGCAGTTGGAAGACAATAAAATAGGTGTAATGCATAACATTTACAAAATATACAGCTTGCTCCAGCTTTAAATAGAATAATAATTTTGTGATTTACATGTGTTACAGTGTTACTTGTTGTGATTGTGTTGTTGTGTTATATGTGTTATAGTTTTACTTATGAAATGGAAAATGAGTTTTGCAACATTAGTAACACAATCGGTACAGGGTACACCTGCAGCAGTGGGTTGGGGGGGGGGGTTGGATTTCGTGGTTCCCTATTCCAGAACCATGACATGAGACCATGAACGTTTGTATCGTGGTTATGGTCTTGGTTTCATAACACTAAGGGATATATACATATCTTAACCCCCCCCCCCCTATTTTTCTCAAACATTAAAAAGACCCACCAGCACCTTAAAACTAGTGATTAAATTATGTGACTGAGATGATGCAATGTGGAGGCAGTACACAGAACACGGTAGAAAATGTCATCTTCACCTTTGGCCTCCGAGCACACGGCCAGAAAGCCGTTATCTGTGATCAGCTTGAACATGGGCCGCACGCCATACGTGTCCCTCCCCAGGAACACTTTACGGTTGGCGACATCCAGGAGGATGAAGGAGAACACCCCGTCGAGCAGAGAGGCCATCTTCTCGATCCCAAATCGGTCATACAGGTGAAGCAAGATCTCTCCGTCTACCTTGGTCTCATGATTAAACTCAAACTGGTTTTTCAGCTGCAACGGTGGCAAAGAATCTTGAGTTGCAGCAGAACCATGATGCAGGTTCCAGGTTCACACGCCCAAAACGACCACACCTACCCTCTGGTGGTTGTAGATCTCGCCGTTGTAGCAGAGCCACAGGTAAGGAAGCTTCCGGACCCTCAGGGGCTGCATTCCGCACAGCTGGTCCACAATCGCCAGTCGGTGGAAGCCGAAGCAGCAGCAGGTGAAGCCGTCGACGTTCTCGAAGCGGAACGCGTCCGGCCCACGGTGCGCTATCCTCATGGCGTTGGAGAACTGGACGGCCAGGCACTCGTCGCTACCGAACAGGGCCCATATCCCACACATGCTGGAGCTGGATCTGTGTACGGCGGCAGGGTTTACGGACAGGAACAGTTTAGGTCCCACTAACAGCATCGTAGCTGTATAATTAAACATGGTTATATTATTAGTAAACATCCAGGTGTTATGAAAGGTCTCGTGCGTAACTGAGTAAGTTTCTACTGTTGTATTTAAGCCATGTTTCTACAGTTCATGAGGTGTGGTGCGGTGGGGGTTCTTGAACCTATTCCAGGCAGTACAAGGAGTTAGGGTACCCCCTAAAGAACCAATGCAGGCCACACAAAAGCACAAATTACAGGCAATTTAAACACACTACTTAACGTCATCGCATGACTGTGGGAGGTAAATGAAGTACCCACAGGAAATGCACAGATCTACCTGCCAGAAGACCTTTTATTTTCATTAAACTTTCGTACATTTATACGAATATTGGCTAAATATTATTAAATATATGCTATATGAGTTGATGCCATTCATTCACATTACGATTTACCTACAGGATGTGCAAATATTTTTCCCCAGCAGATGCCTATGGAAATGCTTCCGCAATGTACAGACACGTGCTTAATTTCGGGGGGAAGGTGCGGAAGTGCTTAAGCCATTCACTTACCAGCAGAGCACTGCAGGCTTACCGTAGTTATCGAATTTACTAATGATAATTTTTCATTAACACCCTAAAGGTTTGTTTTTCTATTTGTTCCGTAATGAACTAAAGTGTGCTTTCATATCGAGCTGACCACTAAATAATCTGACCCGAGTCAAACCAAGGAATCAATGTTACATGTTGACCGATGGGGTTAGCTAAGCGGTAAAAATCATAAAATCAGCATACAGGCGTAATTTACAAACGAAAAGGACACCGTTACCAGATGAAATGGAAATGAATTATTCCCCCGGCCGGTTTTCTGCGTAAAGAGGAAGGTCCCACACTTGAATACTGTATAAAACCCGATCGTGTAATACCGCTATCAGAAAGGAAGAGAAGAAAACCCGGCACAGATCTGTGACTGTGCACATTCAGATCGGTGCCGGTGGTGCCGAAGCCTCTCCGTGTTTCACAAGCGCAATGTGCGCAACAACGTGCTCGGTTGCATCATTTAACCGTTTAATAGCGTGATACAATATGGAGTAGAGGAATGACGAGCTGAAGGCCTAGTTTATTTTTGCTGCAGAAAAAATAATGCGTGGTGGCCATGTTGTAGGGGAGCCTTGACAAAGGCAGGCTACCACCAAATCACTGACTGGGACAGAGAACAGTGGCCTGTACTACGAAGCGGGGTTACTGGCTTATCGGGGTATCTTGCCGGATTTAAGGTCTGGGCAAAATGTAAGTGAACGAATATGAAGTCCATTTAAACTGTGGTACCTTAAATCCGATGTTACCTCGATTAGCCAGTAACCCGCTTTTTCATGGATGTGCTGTGATACTCTCTCTAATGATGCTGTAACGTAATACAGAACGGAAAAAGGAAGTAAAGACATTAAAGAAAGCCAGATGGCAAGTTGGCAACAGAGGAGAGGAACCAAAAACTCCCATTTAAGGAGAAAAAAACCACTGGGGATCCAAGGTCAGCTGACTTTTCGTTCGATGGTTCAAGAGGAAGAAACGAAGTTTTGAAAGGTGAAAGAGTCGATGCATCTGTCTGTGTGGCTTCTAGAAAGATCCGTGTTGATATACCTCTGCTGCAGAGGAATTGTTTGAAAGATCACTTCCTTTGTGATTGGTTGCTGACCCCTGGTGTATATGTGTATGCCTATTTTCCGGTGGTCCGTTTTTAATTGTAGCTGGCTCATTTTTTTAATAATAAAAAAAAAAAAATCTTTTTTATTAAAACAATCTATGCACTACAGCAACACATGAAATTAAGCAGAAGCAAACCATGCATTGTTTTATTAATAGCTATGATAAATGAAAATTTTCGGTGATCTGTCATCATAGATACTAAGTAGTATGTATTTTCTTTGGTGCTGCAGGGTAACCTATTGGTTTTTAAAGAGGTTGTCTACAATCCTTTTATAAATCACCAATACACCACAATAACAGGGATACAAGTTTATTGCAATGTGTTTTGTACTTTATTTTAAGTTAGTTACACATATCTGGTACTGTCATGTTCATGATAATCCATGCTACCTTGGATCACCCCCAGCATTTCATTGATTTCATATGATTATTTTATACTCATGTGGAAGTTCTCCTTAAATAAATACGTACAATAAACAAATTATATATCATAATCCGGAGAGACCTATTTAACGGCAATACTTGCCATATTCTTCAGCTTTTTACCAAACACATTCATGAAATATGAAAAGTTACTGAATTATAAAGCTCATAATTCCTTTAACATTATCGGGTTTCACCGATAAGTTACGTTATAAGTCTCCCTGAAAGCTTTCTTGGGAAAAAAAAAACTGGGAAATTACTGTTGATCCTTGCAGTGAAGGACATAAACCCATTTATCTATATGCATACTTCTTAAGACAGCCAGTTCAATTCACCAATACAAGAAACAAATAATCAAAACCAGTACCCATAACAACCAGAAATAGTTAAAACTGGCATTTATTGGAGTCTTAACATTTTAGAAAATATTGCTGAAGTGTGAAGTGTTCATTTAATCTGTAACTTTGGCATGTTGTCAGAGTCCAAACACTACAGCAATCTGCATTCTGTATTCAAAATGGACGATAGGGAAAAATCAGGAAATATTATAAAAAAAAACAAAAAAAAAAACAAAAACACATTTTCCTTACTTGCCAAATGGTTCTTATGTTAAGCAAATACATTAATGGCAAAGGCTATATGTATGTAAACAAGGGGTTAGAATAATACGACAAAGGCGTGTACACATGCATATATATACGTATGCAAGGTGTGGCAGACTCATGCCACATTAAGGAGAGTGCTATTGAAGACCAGCGTAGCTGGGGCTGTCATCAGCATTGTATTCCCAGATGCCTCAACATTTAACCATGAGGCAGACAAACGTTTACAAACACATACATAATACAAACAATAATAAAGGCGACTTATCAGCAAACTGTAGGATGTTAAATGCTTCCGTTTCACCACAGCAAAAGGGCTTTCGGCTAACTAACTTCTCCAAAACGTTTTCACGAGGCTTTAACTTAAAATTCAGTGTCATTAACACTAGCCTGTCCCATTCAAACACAGTGAAAGATATTTGTGTAATTAACACACAAGCTAAGTATGTATGGAGTGTAGGAATGGACCTGCATCAACGGGAATAGTCATAACCTAGTGAAGTAAAACAATAAAAAACAAATCTCTTGATAAAAACATATGAACACTCTCTTGGAATATCTAATAAAAAACAGTTTAGCAGGTCTAAAACGTTAGGTAATCCAAGGGTACAACCATACAAGCAGCATATAAACTGAGACATCCTGTTAAACAGCCAAAATGAATAGCTTACTTAATTTTTTTCCTGGATCCTTAAATATCCTGGATCCTTAATCTCTCTTAAAAATAGCACATATAAGCATTCCCTAGATACTATATTGCACATAAATGTTTTTTTAAAAAGGTCATTTTAAAGTTAAGTCAGGAAGACAAATCAGGGGGACATGTGTGTAAGGATGTCATTTGCCCTCCCAAACACCAGGTGGCAGACTTAAACAGGCCTGTAGCAGGAGTCAGGCTGCCACATGCGGAGATCCACCAGAATCTGGTTCAATTTTTGCATCCAGAGATTGCGCTCCTCCTTGGTGTCTGCACTCAGCCAGTTCCTGCACAGGAGCAGAACTGCATCACCACTTGCCTTTAAATGTATACAAGGCTGTCCTAAGGGCCAGATCCAAACCTTATCTTAATGCAGAACCGGACCGTCAAAACCTCCTTTTCACAGACGTTATCTACGAGACGGTGTAGCGGGGAGCTTACTTGGTGACACACATGGTGTTCTTGCACCGGCTGACCAGCGTCTCTTTGTCGTCCTCCCTCTGGGGCCTAACGGTGATGAGTTCGAAGGTGTTTGGTCTGGCACAGAACTCCCGGTTCGCTGGCTCCACCTTCCGGCTCGTGCAGTTCGCCAGGTTGACCCGACCGATGGGGCTCTGTAAAGACCGGCACCGAGATGGGCTCTCGTTAGTGCTTCAGACAAAAATACTAAATCAGAACAAGTCAGTAATCAGTTATTGCAGTGATCGAAAGGAATAAGGCATTAGCCTAGTCTTGTGTGGAATTTAGGATACGACATAATAATCAGAATCAGCTTTATTTGCTTCTGGCTGCTGAAGACTCCCAAGTACACAGGCAATAAATGACAAACTATAAGTTACACTATACAAGACATAAAATTTGAAATACACACACATGGCTAACACTGTACAAGGTGTGAGGTTGAGTGCAAACTAAACTCTACGATGCACGATGATATGCCAGCTACATTCTCAATACAGAGGTATGACTCACTAAACTCCTTTGGTTTCATAAAACAATATTATTCATTTTTTATGTATACTTGTTTATGTCAAAGGAAAGCAAATAATGAGCACCACCCCATACGCTATTAAGAGCCCAGGTGCAGGAGGGTGACCGACCTTGCGCTTCTCGTCGTCTGGGTAGGTCCAGTATGAGATGCAGTACCCCGAGAGAACGGACCACCTCCTGTGCCAGGCCCCAAAGCCACTGACATCTTCGAACATCGTCTGCAGAGCAGCACAGCCAGTACCCAGTTAGCGACAAGTATTCCACAGCAGTAAAACAAACTTGTGAAATGGACTGAACTACATTTCTGCCTCCAGCTTACCAGGAAGCCCCTCTCCTCCACCTGTGAGCCAACCTCACACTGCAGCTTCAGGTAGACGTGTCCCTCCAGGGGACACAGGAAGGGGACCTGCAGGAGGACCGCGACACCTTGAGACAGATACTCGACGGAGGGAAGATCGCCACATGCCACAGCCAAACAGGAGGGGATTAAGGCAAGGAGTTAATCTCACAGTCAAAGAGAGCAAATTATATAAACAACATAAATGCAACTCAACAACATTGACAGCTATAAACTGGTCAAATAAAACATTAACCTTCAACTTCAGCCACATGGAAAAACAAAGCATAGCCAGGTAAGGCAGCTGAGATACCGCCACAAGTCGGCTAAACAGCATTTCTCCTTTTCTCCTATCATTGAAGTGACTGACAGCACTAGGCTGCACCGGTGAGGATAATGTCCTTCAGACACAAACCGCTCAACGTGACCGACAGTTATGTCAACAGACAAGATTAGGGAAAACAGGGCATTCAGTTGCAATGACAAACTTAAGGCCACCACAGATACAAAGATGACAGCAGCAAATAAGATGCAAGATGCACTGAACAGAAAAGGAAGTTAGTACTGCCTCAGAAACGGTTGCAACCTTGTGTTGAAACATGTCACCAAGAAACTCTATCTCACTTTCTTCATGACTGATCTATGAGACAGAGAGAAACAGAGAAGAGAGTGCATGAGAGCAAGCGTGAGCTTAGCGGCGAAGCACTGAGCGTAGCCAGACAGCGCCACCAAGTGGCAGACCTCCGGTGACTCGCACACTAAAGGCTGGTCCATACATCTCCGCATGCGTACTAGTGGATGTGTCCGCTCTAATGCTTATGAGGCGTGTGACATTGTGTGTCTCCGCGGACAAACGCCTGCTGCAGTCCAAATTTGTATCTGCACAAAAGTGGACAAGCGTCCACTTTCAATACCAGCATGGATGCTTTTGAGGGGTGTTGGGGTAGTTTGGAAACCCTACAGACTATTAACAAAGGTAATAAAACTGTTACATACATATAAATGCATGTGTATATGCATGCAGGCTTGTCTCAAATTGAAAATTTCATGCCAGCCAGCTGACCAAAGTTGACAAAATAGAGATGGCAACTGTGAATTTGCAAAACAGAGTAACGGATACAAAAATCACTGCTGTGGTACGTGTGCAGGGAATACCATAATAATAATATAAATACAACACATTGTGCTCGTGGGCAAAGTATGCGGCTTATCTGGAGAACTGTGACCGTGTCTGTGTATGCATATTCAGGGTGGATACGCGACTGAAGTAAGAACCAGCCATAAGGGGCGCCATAAAGGTGTAATCACCCTTTACAATCCCCACACCCATCAGCAACCCCCCCGAAATTTCCATCCTCTTTTGGCATCAGAGCCTAACTCTGCAGGAAACCTCACATCCCATGTACTTCTGATCTCTGGAAGCAAAAGTCGATATATTTATTCTCTTTATGTAAAACATCTGGAGATCAAACCTGTGAAAAACAGTGGCTCTTACCTTCTCCAGGGGAAATTTGTTCTTTCCAATGGAAGCCAGTGAGAGTTTGTGGGAGCCCACAAGGACAAAGCTGCTGGTGCGGACTGCATTGGGGCCGCCTGGGCTGGCCATCACTGCGGGCAAAGATTAGGGCGCCTTCAGTGCAGCTCTTCAGTAAAACATGAGGAGGCATCTCACTGCAGAAGAACCTAAAGCCTTACCTGGAGTCTGAAGATTGCTTTTCTGAAAAGGAGGGGAAGAAAGGTAGGTAAGCCAAACATACAATCAGCTAGGGTTAGAATAATTACTACTAAGGTAGGTAAGCCAAACATACAATCAGCTAGGGTTAGAATAATTACTACTATGTTAAAAGTAGCCTAACCAATCTGCTTCCAGAAGCGAAAAACCACAAAATTCACAAAAACAAATTTATTCCTGCTGACACTAAAAGCTCATTTGGCACAGTTTGAATATTATAACATTTACCACCTCAACAAGGCAAGGCAAGTTGATTTACATAGCACATTTCAGACACAAGGCAATTCAAAGTGCTTTACAAAGGCAGAAGAGCATTTCAAAATAAGAATAAAAAAATCACATTTAAGACAAAAAAATAGACAATAAAATTGCACCAAAAACCCCTAAAAGCCAAACCGTTAACTGAAAAGAAGTTACAGACTCAACCACCAGAAGAGTAGCTGTGAACAGGATTATGAAGGACACTATCAAAATGTCAAAAATTAGATACTGCCAAAACCTAATCTCAACCCAGTTGTGTCCCTTGTGATGGGACAATTGCATGTGCATAACATGCGACGTCGACGTTAATATCACATGCCGTGCTTGTCTAGAAGTACTTACGGTTATGGTGGTCAGGAGACGCTTGGGAGTTATGGCCTACAAGAAAAAAGCAGAGATCTCAGCTCATCCAAAGAGTGAACCACTCCAGCCCTCCAGGGACCTCGTGGGAATGTTAGGCTCTGGCGAGAGCATTACAGGCCTCCTCCCCAGCCCAGGGTGACCGTACCAACACAGGCCCAACCACACCCGTGAGCGAGCACTTAGGCTCCATGCATGGTGACGATCTTAGACCAGGATACCTGTACCGAAAAGCACGATTCCTGGACCTCATGAATGTGCTGCCACAGAATCTGAACAAGAGCACGATCTTAAATATCCATGTCTTCCAAGAAGGTTTCTTTTTTTAAACACTTAATAGCATTAATCACCATGAAGCAATTTCATGTTTTCACCCCCAGTACAAAGTCATGCCCGACTAACCCAATACCATTTATACCAGTTTGCCTGTGGAGGTGCTTATAGGAAATACCTTTGACTTGCTTGGCTTCTTCTTCTTCTCAGAGCACAGTTCACGCCTCTGCACCTGCAAACCATATTTCTAATTACCATTACATTACCATTACAACTGCCAGGACCGTCTGCAGTAATTCAGCTCACACCTTCACACAATTACAGACACACACACACCAAATCTACCCCACATGCCTATTTAAGACACGCAAAGTGGTAACTCCTGACCACGTGTTTCTAATCACGTCAGCGAAAGGCCCACCAGAACCTGGCATCGCACTTCAGATGCAGACCGTGGACCCACACTGCCCATGTTATCTGTACTCCAGCACCGTAATCTTACTTCAGGGCTGTCAGCTTCCTCCATAAATAAAAGCTGAGAGGCTTTCTTCTTAAAAGTGAGGTTTCAGAATGAACGCCCCTATATGCAGGCTGGCTACAGGACAGAAGCGGAGAGCCTTTCTTCTAAAAAGTGAGGTTTCAGAATGAACGCCCCTATATGCAGGCTGGCTACAGGACAGAAGCTGAGAGCCTTTCTCCCAGAGAACCTCACATTTTCCTGAAGCCCCTTCTAAAACAAGTTCCTGCCTACAGGCCAATATCCGTATAAACACGACAGCTGTCCCAATGCAAAGTGATGTTTCAGATTGACGGGGCAGCATCAGGAGCCAGTCAAGAACAGCTCATATCACAGAAACCCAAAACTCACCCTGTACTGCTCCATTTAATCATCCAGCTCTTAAGATATGAATATAAACATAGAGTGACCGCTAAATGCACAAAGGCTAATGCTTCAGTACTTACCAGACAGTAGACTTCCACGTCAATTTCAAAGTCATTAGTGACATTGGAACTGTAACAAGGAGAAAAGGACCATTTTAGGACATTCACTCGAACCCTCAACACGGCCGTTATGAAATCTCTCAATAGCTGAAAGCATCACGCAGTAAGAAGTGGATGTCATACAGCATGGGCAGACCTGGGGGGCAGGCAGCCGCTCACGGAAGGATGGGGGCGGAGACACTCACAGTGTGAATTTGGTAGAGAAGGTGAGGGCGTCCCCGCTCAGCGCGCTGCGGGTGCTGGCCAGAGGGGTCGCCACTGTGTTCTCCGCTCCCGCCCGGATCATGATGAAGAAGTAGTAGTTCTCTGTGTGCGTTGGATGGAGGGAAACAGGGAGGATATAGAGCAGCGTTCCTCAACAGGGAACACACAGACCCGGAATCACACGGTACCTGGGCAAACAGTAAGGGTATGTCCTGAACAGTCACCTACCTGGCTTGCTGACGGCGGAGCAGACAAAGTCGGCCTTCAGGGGGAGACGCAGCTCCATCAGCGTGATGGAGCCCTTTGAGGCGGAGATGGTGCCTTCCTCTGCTGCTCTAGAGGAGCCCGGGCCCTTCTTCGGGCCCTCCACCCTCAGCCGGTCCAGTTCGGCTTTTAGCGCCACTCTTCTCTCAGCTAAAGACACACGTTTGTAGCAGTTACAATACGAGTTTGATGGTGATGCGAGTCACCACCTATAACTGGGGACCCTTTGCAACCTCAGCCTCAGATTGAAGATGGCAGTGCCCCTCATCAAAAGAAGAGAAAGTTCTAGTTATATACTGTTTATTAGCTCTTATGTACTTTTTTGTCCCACTGAACCCGTCGTACATACAGTACTGTGCAACCGCTATCTGTAGTCTTGCTGCGGTGTTCGTATGCACCAAATACCGCGTAATGCCTTGCCTGGTATTGCTAACAATGGCTAACAATGAACCAGGGTAGAACTGGGGTGTATTTCAAAAAGTAGGATATTTTGCATATCTGGATGACTTAAAGGCCATTTAAAGTAGAGATGTACCGATCTAATATTCGGATCGGTGCTGATCCAGATATATTTGACAGATCAGGTATCGGCCATGCGTGACCGATCCACGTCCGATACTTACTTATTTAGTTTTTGGCAATCTCTAAAAAGATTCAACACGAAATAGGAGCTATTTGTACAATCGATCGCACGACAGCACTTTCCCATTTTACATGTTTTTTTGCGGCATTCAAATCGAACGCTAACGCTGCCCCAGTCTTTTTTGCTGCTCAGTGGGTGTGAGTACAGTGACTTCCGCTTGCTGTGACGTCATGCGCATACCCTTCGCAGTACGAGGAGTACGTTAGGTATGTTTGTAGTAGCCTAATTAAATATTTCATAAACCATTTTTTCCCATCTATATTTACTAGCGTTAAAAAAAATTATATATGAAGTATAACAAAGTAAAAAGAGCTCTAGTATCGGAATCTGTATCGGTATCAGCAGTTGTGTATCGGAATCGGATCGGAACTGAAACAATGTGGATTGGCCCATCCCTAATTTTAAGTGGGGTACCTTAAATCCAACAAGTTATCCGGCTAAGTAAGAAATCCTGCTTTTTGAAACAAGTCCTGGGCATTGATAAATGACTTTCCGACTCGCAACTGGAACACAGTTAACTCGGGTGTGATGTCATTCACAGCTCCAGCTCCGACCTCCAAGGTAAACAGAACGCAGTATAAAGCATTATTCCCAGCGGTCCCTTAAAGCTGTATCCATGGAGACGGAGCACCCCCCTCTTCCCCACTCACTGGCAATGAGCAGCAGCCTCTCGGCCTCGGCCTCCACCTGGGAGCCCTTCCCGTGCTCCTCGTCCGTGCAGCAGTTGAGCGCCTGGCTGGCCTGGTGGATCACTGTCTGCTGCAGGTTCATCTCATTGGTCAGGTCCTGAGAGTGGGCGGAAACAGACGTTAAGGCCACTCCAATTGGCTCATTAGCCCTGCTAATCCATCATAACAGATCAAAGGGCAGGTCATCCTCAATGTTGCTTTGATTATTAAAAATCCGAAAGCCATTGATTGCAGGGTGTATTGCAGGTCTTCTCCTTACCTTGATCTTCTGCTTGACGCTGACGTGGTTTGTGGGCGTGGCTAGCTCCGTCTCCGATGCCTTCTGCTTCACATCCTCCTTGCGCACGATCACCTGCTTCACGTGCGGCCGGGTCGTCTCCTTGACCCTGGTGGACCTGTAGGCGTCGATGCTGAAACAGCAGAAGGTAGCTAAGTTTGAGTAACGCTGGTAGCGTGAGGTACTTGCAATAACGATATTTGACATTTTCATTGATAAGCAGCCATCAGCCAGACAGTAGCATTTAAAGAATGAAGATAACTGGAGAACCCTGGGGAACCCGGCAAAGCTAAAAACCCAGCGAGCCGGAGCGAGGCCCCGGTAGAAAGGTGGCACCTGTAGGGGAGGTTCTGCTCGTCTTCGGCAATGTCCAAGCTCTCAGACGAGCGGGTACGCCGCACCCGGGCCCTCTGCAGCTTCTCGGCCCGCCGGGCACTATCAGGGGTCTTGCTCTTCTCTCGGAAAGAGCTTGCTGGGGTGGAGGTCTTCAGGAGGAAGATGACACAAACAGAATCTCAAATTTCACACAGTCATAAATGTATTAGTAGGTTAAACCACTTTGAGAGGCACTTTTTTCCACTTGCACTTGGTTCTTCAAAGTGAGTTTTTAGTGTAATATTCCATTTTCAAAGTGAATGTCCTTGAGTCTCCCAGCTGCTCTTCACCCCCGCCCCCCCACTCACCAGCAGCTTCAGCTCAGGGCTTTTCACGACAGCAGCGACCGTCTCTGCCAGGGGGGCCAAGAGCGACATGGAGGAGATGTTCAGGGCATCTTCATCTCCTTCATCATCTTCATCCTCCTCTTCATTCTCAGCGCCGTGATCCTCGCTCTCCTCCAGGACGCCGTCGAAGAGCTTGTTGATGACCTCTGAACTGTTCCCCGCATCTACGACCATGTCGACCTCCCGCTCCCCTGTGTCACAGACAGGTCCTGTCACTGCTCGCCAAGTGTCACCCATTCTAAACACTCACTTGGCCATTCGACAAATAGTGACCATGAGGTCTATCCCAAGTGTCTACAAATGTCATGGTTAAACATTCATCAATATGCACGTACAATAGTGGCAAAATTTTCCACCACAGACATAAACAAAACAGCCGCTGAAGGAGGTTCCGCCATGTCACTATGTCACCATGTCACTCACCCATGGAGGCTTCTTGGTTGTCATCAGACATCTTAGAGCAAATTTCTGCTGTCTTTAACGGGCTGGAAGCAGCCGTCTCAATAAGCGACTCTTAAAGAAAAATATGTATATATTAGCGCTTCAGAAGAATGCTTGTAAGTTTGTCTGATAAAGGAGCAGATGGACACAGAGCTGATGCAGTGGCTCTGCACACAGAGTGTCGCTGTGCTGCCTGGTGCAGCGGAGACACGGCCCTCCATGGCCCCTCTGAATGCCCCTTTCAGCAGCACAATGCGGGGTCAGTCAGACGGGCTGGGCCACATTGAGCGCTTGGCATCAACACAAAGCCTAGGGTCAGGAAAGCCTGTCCTCCCCGAAGCAATATGGACACAGTCGGTTTGCACTCAAAGAAGCCCTGAACTCCAGCTACACCACCAAACCTCTCAGGCTTAGGACCTGCCCATCCCATTATAATACCCCAGAGTGACAGGATAGCTCTATTAGGGAATGAATAACCAATATACCTGCAGAGCAGGACTTTGCCGCAGTGCTCAGTGTCACCACAGGGGGCGCTGTTGGCCTATCCTCAGGCTCAATTGGCATAACAGTGCTCTCTGTTGGCTGTGTCGATTGCTGTTGAAGCAGAACACGTTTAACATTGTTTTCAGGTTGGAGTTTTATCAAATGGTTGGCAAACATACAGGAGGGAAAACAGAACAACCTATTGCATTTAGGTACAATGGGCAGTACGGTTCAACATTCGCTGCCATGTCTTCCACTGTACTGAAACCGCATACTGGGTCGCACGGACGTTGGCGTCACCGCCTTCTGACGGGTCTGCTTAAGGCATCACTTCAGAACCAAACAAAAGAGAAGCTTGTGAAAGCCGACCTTGGCGCTGGCCACTGCGCTCGGCTTCTGCACGTTCCCTCTCTGGAAGCGATTTCGCAGCTGCGCTAGTTCGTTCTCTCGCTCCTGTGAAGAAACGGCGGTAATGATCAGCAGGTTGCGAGGCTGACGCAGAAAGTCCTCTGACATTTTTATGGGTCTGGGGTTGGGGGAGCCGTAAGATTTATGCCAGTGCCCTACCAGCCTCTGCTTCTGGGCAAGGTCGGCCGTGGCGGTGACCACAGGAGTGGGCTTCAGCTTCTCTTGCATCAGCCGGGTCCTGGGAGTCGCCGACTGCCCCGGCAATGGGGTCTTCTGACCTGCGGCAGTTGAAGGAGAGTTCTGGGCAGAACGCTCCTGGCAGCGCTCCCCAAAACGCTCCAGGAAGGACTTGACCCCCGGTCCACCTAAAACAGGGCAGAACCTGATGAGCAAAAGCAGCTACAAGAAAGGAGACCTAGTCAGTGATGGCTGTCAGATCATTTTTAATTGATTAGTTTTTTAATTAACAAGAGAACCTGTGATGTCATCAGATTGAGTTTTAGCCCATGTGGGGCTATTCTGACACACTCCTTATTATCACCAGAGTTTCATTCCATGCATGACGAAAGCAAACAGCCTTTCAATGTCATAACCCAGAAGGGTCACGTGATTAAACCACTTACTCTGAGCTCCAGATGGGGTCTTTGCCTGCAAGGGCGTGGTCTCCCTGAGCAGGACGGCGGACGACACCGTCGCCAGAGGCTTGCCGAGCAGTTCGGGTTTCTTAGGGCTTGGCTGGATGTCTCTTCCTGAGCCGAGGTCTCTAGCAGGCATCTGGCTCTTCTGGGGACTCTGAGAAGGAGGCTGCCGCAGTCCAGCAGCAGCCTCCGCACCTGCTTTATGAGGGCTGGAGAGGTGGGCGGCCCTGGGGCCAGCAGACGGGGACGCGGAGGGAGCAGCGGGACCCGGCTGCGGAGTGGGCCTGAGGTTTGAACAATGAGCCTTCTGGGGACTCGGCTGAGCTGCTACGTTCACTTTAGCCGGCGAAGAGGCCGACTGCTGCAAGAAAACATTAAAAAAAGAATCTTCAACAACTAGGCCCTACATAAATGCCTAATGCTCAACATTAACACACCGGTTGATATTTCATTCATAAATGTAGCATCAAAATATAGTAAAGCAGCAAAAATACACACAATAATTAAGCCACTGGCAGCATTTCAGAACTGCACAAGAGCAGTATTCCTGTACAGGACAGGGAAGCACACAGCTACTCTGGCCCCATCCAGTCCTGCCTTGAAGAAGGATGCCCATTGTACAGCCCACCTGTTGCCCAGCGATAATGGGCTTGCTTGCAGCCGCCTGGCCGGAATGCAGGCGCTGTACCGCGAGGCCGGTCTGAGCGCTGACGCCGGCGGCTCTGTGGCGCGAGGCGGGTAAACAGGCGGTACCAGGCTTTGCTTGTGCATTGTCTCTCTGCGCCAATCTCGGTGCCCCCAGGTTGTCCTCCCAGGAGCCAATGGTGGCTGCGAGGTTGGCCAGCCGGCCCCTCCGCCCCACTGGCGTGTCGGAGGATGTCGGGGTGGGGGCAGGGGTCACTTCCTGTCTCTGAGTCTCAGGGGGGGACGCAGGGGTGCTGTCTGGGATCACATCTGCAGATGTTTAACATGAAACGCAGGACAATCACTAAACATCATCGTGCCAAAGAACTTTATTGAAAACAGCCCTCTGTGAAGAAAAAGATCCTCTGACGTTAACTTGAGCATAAACAGGGTATTTATGCAGAACTGCTTAAGGGAAACCATAAAGAATCAATTTTTTTATGAATAAAGATGAAAATACCATCAGTGTCCCAGTACTGCCTCTGTTCAGCCAGTTTCTGAAGGCGGGACCTCATAGCCGCGGGCCCAGCAGGAGTGCTCTGGGGGTGGGCACCCCTAACCAGCCCCTGGGCTGGGGCAGAGGTCAGCTGGCCTGCATCCCCATTCCTCTCCAGCTTCGCAGCAGGCTGTGAAACATTCCTCTCCAGAGAGGGGACAGAGCGGGTGGCGGAGGGCCCGGGCGGGGGCTTCCGATCTGTGGGCGGATCCTGAGGGGCAGGGGCCCCCAAAGAGACCGCCACTGGCTCTACGTTCTCCACCTCTGCCTTGGACAGTTCCGTGTCACCGGAGCACCTGCGTTTGGAGGGAGAAGGCTTGGAGGAGGGAGGGGCTGGAAGAGAAAGAGGGGAGAATTCCATAATCAGAAAAATTAAGACACACCCAGCAAGCCTCCCACTTCATTACAGAGTCAGAAAATCTAGTAAGAACGAACATGACAGCAACCTGAAAAGAGAAACTTAAAAGAAAAACAGACTTTTTTTTTCTTCAAAACAATTACACTAACGTATTACAAAATACAATTTATAAGTTGCACTTTATGCTATATATTAGTTGTAAATAGATTTTCCTAAGTGGAAAATTACAGCATCCTGTGTTGAGTGTATTCAGCACAGCAGGAAATTCCAGCAGGCAACGGGTCCGTAGAAATGTCAACATGGAGAAACTGATCCCACCCTCTATGTGTAATGGCAGTATTCACCACCAGAGGGCACCCTAGGTTTATTTTTACTGTATGAGGCAAAAAAGCAATTGTAAATTTCCTAATTACACAGTAGAATAAATAATACTGATTAATACATTACATCTTCAGAGATGGTAAATTAATCTTTGGGTGTTAAATACTACCACATCCAAAAAAATTTAAGGTCCTTAAAAGCAGAGATGAATGTATCTGTAAGTGTACTTGGAATTATCACTTAGATAACTTATGTGGTAGGGACCATCAGTTTAACTCTGCCAGTGTAAACGGATGGAGAGCCTCACAGAGCAGCCACCACCATTAAGTATGACTCAGGGAGTGTCAAACTTACGTTACTAAAGGTCTAACAAATAAAGGGAACTGTAGGGGAATTACCATTCTCAGGGGCTGACTCGGTCACGGTGTTGCTCACAGCCAGCGGCTCGCGTACACGTTTTCCCATGTGTCTGTTGGCGGCTGTGGGCCTCTCAGCCATCTTCTTCTGCAGATTCTCCCGACGGGCGCGTGTGCGCTCCAACAGTTTCTGACAGTCACACAATTTTCATCATTTTTTCTTAATTCTACAGACACAGCGCTGACAATGAAATCTGAACACTGACCCCAACAAAGCAACGCACATGAACAAAATTTGAAATTTCCAAGGTATCTGAAAGCTTTCAAAAGGCCCTCAGCCCAAAACACATGACTTTGAAAGGCCAATGGGCGCACAGATTTTAGTGCAAGATGTGACACGTTGCTGCCGTTCGGGAAAGAGTCCAAAACTCAGCCGAAGCTTACGGATGTCACCCGAAAGGAATTTGCGGGTTATATGGCATGCGGTTGAACACACTGGAAGCCAGCTTGTTAGGAATGACACTTCAAGAGGCTTGCATTTATAAAAAAGGCGGTTACAAAACAGCGACACTGGAAATGTTTTAAGCCAAGTATAGTTAAACCGCCTCTAAAAACCAGCCATCTGAAGCAACCCAAGTCAAGACAGATATTTAAAGTTTTCATTATGATTATAAGTTTTTAGTTACACTAAGTTATTTTTCAACCGCCTTTGTCCAAAGGCGATGTTTATATACTAGTCTAAGACCGATGGTCTGCAGCCAGCACGCAGCTGGATCGATTCCGACAAAAAAAAAAACCGTCTGAGAAAACTAGATAAAGCCATTTATTACCAATTAAGGGAATCGAAAGCGAATCATGCCGCAGAATTTGGAAATGTTTGTGCTTCGCTGTCACGTTGTCCGTTAGGGGTGGGGATTGGTCAGCAGTGTGCTAGCTATGCGTACATTACACGGTGGGTGAACGGCTGCGTTTAAAGCTTATTTTACGCCATGTAAAATGACCGTCTGGATAGAGCTGTCATCGTCAGCAATAATGACACAACAATGAACATAAGTATTACAGAGCTCATCCATAATTGGGAGTGAAAACGCAGACGTGTGAACTCAGGCAGACAATGTAAACTTCTCCCCACGTCAAAGTTAGGTGGACACTTGCATAACAGAAGACAAAACCATAAAAAAAACCGTGGTGGTTAATAATGTTAGTTGACGTACGGTAAATAGAAACAATACAGCCACGTAAAAACTCACGGCTCATGTGTTACTACGACGTATGCTTAGTTAGCAGCTTAGCTTCCTATCCATAAGCCATGCAATGAGACCAAGTCGGCTGACAAAACCTGTATTAATTTTTCAATCTTACCTCAGTAAAGGGGTCCATTTCCTCCCCGTAACAGTCGTAATGTGCTTCTGACCGGAGAATCACCCGTATTCGCCGGGTAAGATATTTTTTTTAAATTAACTTGAGTTGCACACAGAGGTGTCGCTTCACGTACAAGCCTCCTCACTACCTCGGTACAAAGCAAACATCTGTTCAAATTTGAATTTCAGCGCTGCCCCCGTTGCGCATGCCCCAGATAGTGAATTCGTGATTGACAGACTCGACATCAAATAGGAGAAAGATATGACGACTCGGACACACCCCCCGAAGGCCGCTCAATTCTCGCCAGCCTCAAAGCGTCAAACTCCCAACGTCCTAGTTTTGGGAAGAGTTATGTGTGCGGTTACCACGGTGAAATAAATACCACCGTTTGTTCTGGAAACTAGACAACGTCATTTATATTTTTAATTCAAGTACTTCCAATTTTAACCGTAGTACATTTTGCACCAAACAGTGTGGTTGTTAAAGAAAAACGTTAGAAGAATGTTGACCAAGGTATTATATAGAGAATAGTTTATATATTTATAAATATGTTTCCCTGAAAAGCTCTATACATCGTTTATCTGAAAGTTTAAAAAGAACAGCTAAACGCATAAGAGCGTCATATAAAAGGATATTTGGCGTAACCTACTTAGAGAGATTACTTAAGATGTTCGAGTTTTTTACATAACGTGAATGTAAGACTGGTGATTCAGTGTAGCCTACAGATTTAGTAAAACTGGCAAATATTGTAAAAAAAAGTATACAGCAGTTAGGAAGCAGGAAGTGATCAAACAGTCCGTTTTCTGTCACCAGCAGTATTGTTAGAACGCTAGGGCCGTTTTTAAGTGCGAGTTCAGCGGTTGAAGCTTGTTTTGGGTACCTGCTTGTAAACATGTCGAGCTAAAATAACAGCACCAGTGATCAAAGCAAGTCGCCTCATCCTTATTCAGAATTGTTCTTTTCATTATTTACAAATGATTTCCTCTGCAGACAGTTTTGTCCAAATGGACCCGTCATGTTATTTTTAAATTAAAATTATTTAAGTTAGCCTACACAAATTTACTCAAGCAGTTTATGCTAATTGTGTTGAGTATATTTCACGAAGACGAATAATGTATAATATATGGGATTAACAGACTCAAGTGCATGCGTTAATTGTACGGAGAACACGCCAGAAAACTACTTTAATGTCATCTGGCTCTGATCCCACTTCAGCCCTGTAGTAAAGCAGCCATTAAACACTCATCTTTTTACGTAAGTCATTGCATCTCGATCGCTGCCGCCATCATTGAGCATATTTGGTGACCTCAGCAATTAGTCTTCGATACCAAAAATACTAGGGCATTACAAGTTGCATTATGTGTTGCCAAAACAGCTATTCTTTTAAACAGGAAAACATGCAATGCAATAAGTATTGTACACTGGTTAAATCTTTTCCTAGAATCGATATCAATAGAAAAACATACTTTCTAAATTATGAACGATCTATCAAATATTTAAATGGTTTCGTAAAATACAGGTTTTGCTGGACACTCTGTCCCACCTACTGTGTCATAATAATAGTACTAATAGTAGTACTACTAATAATTAATTGTGTAACTGTTATGTTCAGTTGTTATGTTAAGCAGCAGTTGCGCCTTCCGAAAATTGGGGTGGCTACATCAGGGGCCAGTTATATTTATGGAGCTGACCATGCACGCCGCACCCTGTCTCTTCTGTGGTCCCGCTTAGAAAAGAAAATAATCCACATTTTGCTGTTAAACCGTATCCTCGACGGTTGTTTTCAGCCGTTATGTTAAAAAATAAAATACAAAAAGATACTCGGACACCATTGGTTTGTTTATATATTGACAGTGATATATATTAAATATTAACGACAGCTTGGCACTGATACTGTAGGTGTATCAGGTTGGGTAAATTCCAGTCAACTGAAATGCTACAGCACTTGTAAACACGATGACTGTTTCCATGGTTTAGAGTTGCCAGGTAAATTATGGATTAAGCTCTCGGTCAGGAGCACAGATAATGTTTTAACTACTACAGACTACATCTTCAGGAAGCAGGGGAGTACAAGGTCACCATCTAGCAGCAGGTATCAGGATGATATGCAGTCCATCTGCCAAGCTGCATATCAAGATAATCTCTGGTCTGTCTGGCGGTCTGGCAATTATAATTTTGGTTGCATGGACAGCACATCGTGGATGAATCATTTGAATTGCAGATGAGGGCTTTGAAGGCAGCTGACATGGATGTCGTTAAGACTGAACGTTTAAATTTTGATGTTTATTTGTGATCTTACAAAATATTTCGCAGGTTGAATAACATTAATTATAAAATATGTTTGTTTTTACAACAAAACTATAAACAAAACTAGTGGCATAACATTAATAAGTTTTACAGACATAGGCCTATGTACAGAATATGTAAAAATGAAATTAAAGAATGTAATCAATTGGTTTATGTTATATAATATACTGTATATAATACTGCATACAGTACTATATATATACAGTTTGCCAAAATTCATTTTGCACCCTTAGCAACCAAGAATTTACATAGTGACGTGTGCATGTGTCATGGCAACTGCTGACGCGCTGTGCCTGTCCGTACCATCAGTCCGCAGCAAGTACAAGCGGACAGGCTGTGGTGCCTCACGGCCGGCAGGTCCTGCCGTTTACTGTAACTAATGCCATAATGGTATTTTTGGTGGTCTCCAGTATATGAGGTCTGCATTTTCATAGCATTTGTTTTCTTTTCTTTTCGCATTTCGGATTCTGCGGCATGCCTAGAATAGCCAGCTAGCTCCCTTTGCCAGAAGATTGCTCCGTTAGACCCGAAGACATGCTTGAATCAATAAAAGTAACCGGTACGTGTACAAAATTGTTTTATGACAGATCTTTTTTCCCATTCCGTGATGTAGCTCATCCTTGAATAACTAGATATTAGTTTCTCGATTATGTAAGAATTTTTTTAGTAGAGAGAATGTAGGTTGAAGTATCGAGCTGAATACCCAGTTACTGTAAACGAGCAAGGAATCTATTATAGCCAAACAGTAAAAGTGTTGTTAGTATTAAATATGTCGAAAGTGCAAGAATGACAATTAGTAAAATTTACGAATAGGAAGAATTGGGTGATTGCGGTCGATGTTTAATATATGTTTTTTTTCTCCTGTGATGCAGTGTTGCCCGTTAATGCCAAAATCTAATCAATTAAATACATATGTATATGTCATTGAATATGCACGTAGAAATGTCTGACTTCTGAAATTCACAATCATTTTGAGCAGTTTGTAATGGCTGTGAATTATGGTAAATGACTGTGAAGCGACGTTGAAACCGTCATGTTGAATATTCATTGACATCACCCGTTGGGGCGTTAAATTCTTTGCTTTTGGGAACGATGTCAGTTTGCACCACTGCGTGATATGCGCTGAATTTTTGTGAGGTGGTCTGAACCTGTAACTTCTGCCTCATCGCCCTGCCAGAGTGGGAAGGATAGTCCCATGTGATTTTGCTCCCGGTCATTTTGTGGAACGTTTATGGTGAAGCCTCTTGGTTTCCTCTCATCCCCTGTCTCATCTCAGAAAGGCTGCGTTGGCCTGAGCTGGAGATGTCTAAGAAATACCTCCTGAGTCCCTCAGAAAAGCCAGGCAGCCCGAATCATATGTGCCTGGAGAAAATGTCCTCCGGAGTGCTGAAGAACCTGTTCACCACCGGCACCAGTAGCTACAACGTCTTTCTGCAAGCTGAGGAGGAGGAGAGGCGTAGCCCCAAGCACTCACCCCTCCGCAGGGCAGGTGGGGTCCATCACAGTTCCGTCACCCACCCCCTGTGTGCTGGTGGGGAGGATTATGGGAAGCAGGCCCGTATCTTCATCACAGCATCCCTTACCGCCGTCCCCCTGCCCGCCCCGGCGATCACCGTGATGGGAAGCACCGTGAATCTGTCTCCTAGGCCCTACATCTGTTCTAGGAGGATTTTCCCCTCTGACAGTCCCCACACCAAGCTCCCCCTGCTGGCCAAAGGAAGCGATGTGCGTGGTGGAGAGAATGCCCTCAAGAAGATCTGCATCTTAACTGCCGTCAAACCGTCCAACTTGGACAAGGAGAAGGCCAAGTTCTTCAAGTCCAACTTCACGTACAACCCACAGTTTGAGTACAACAATCCCGTCTCCCCTGTCATCCTGGCACGCTATAGCAACGCCTCGGACAGGTTTCTGACTCAGGTAAGACATCCCACACTTAAGATGTGTCCACTTGTTTGTTACTGTCATCCAGGTACATTACACTGGCAGGAGTCCAATCAGGGACGCCCTGAAACAGCTCATACAGCACACGGTATGTCTGTGATTTCCATCCAATCTCTGCTCTCTCTCCACCTGCACACCTGATCCTATTCCACCTATTATCAATCCTGTGAACTCTTGACTAGCTGCCTCAGACGCAGTGTATTGAGAGCCACTGGTGACTAGTGGGTAACAGACAGCCAATCCTGTTACTTGCCTCGCGTTTTTTCCATCGCCCTCACGCTCCACATCCTTTCGTGAGATGCAGACTTGAGCCGTCCGGATCCAATGCCGTTCGGGGACAAAGGGTTGAAGTTTCCACCCCTGCTACTTTATCTCTCCTGATCTTGAGTGGGAGAGGAGCACCTCCGTGGGGTAGATCGTTTTTAGTAAAGGAGAGCAGTTAGGGGTGTCCAGGCTCGCTTTGTAGGACATAGTGATGATGGAGACTAGAGGAACCTGCCCCAGAAACTGTTATCTAACGCTGCCCCTGGGTGACTTTCCTGCACCTACTCCACAGGCTTGCTCGACTCTTTCATAGAAAAATGACTCAGGCAGCCTTTGTGCAGTTAAATATTTTCAAAGATATTCAGGTTAAATGGCTGACCGATAAGTAAAACAGCAAGTCCTTGCCGAAACACTCAAACTTCAAGGGGAGTTGTGTGGCTCAGGGGACTAGGTGTCTGTGTCAGAAGGTTGCTGGTTTGAATCCTGGGGCCGGCAGACTACTAGCAGGGTTGGGCCCTTAACCCCCCCCCCCCCCCCCC